ATCCGCGCAGGCCACTGGTGGGCCACAACACCTAATAGGATTAACCCACCACCATCAAAATAGCAAAATAGAATAGCAAAAGCATCTTCATTGCACAATCCCCAGACCAGTTCAAGGTGAAATTCTTTTGTTTTGTGAATAAGCTGGCTCAATCTTTCTTAATGGGCACAAAATATCTGCTGGGGGGTGTGGTGGGGGGGTTATTAAGAAAGATTTGAGTCTTCCTTCCAGTTTTAAAGAGCATCTTTCTCCATTTCTCCCTTTGGTGAAATAGAATATTCTGCCTTTTAATAATCCTCAAAAATACTTCATTCTTCTAGGAGAGGGATGTGCATGAGTGTTTTGGGTGGGGGGTGTGCATCTCTGTAAACGGGGCCTTAGGTGTGTTTTATCTACCCCCAGAAGTGTGAGTGGGGAGGGTGAAGAATGGAAGCTGGCTGCTTTTCCCCCCTCCCTTATCCAGGCTGCCCCCACTTAGAATAGAATAGAATAGAATAGAATAGAATAGAATAGAATAGAATAGAAAATATGGAATGGAATGGAATGGAATGGAATGGAATAGAATAGAATAGAATAGAATAGAATAGAATAGAATAGAATAGAATAGAATAGAAAATATGGAATGGAATAGAATAGAATAGAATAGAATAGAATAGAATAGAATAGAATAGAAAATATGGAATGGAATGGAATGGAATGGAATAGAATAGAATAGAAAATATGGAATGGAATGGAATGGAATAGAATAGAATAGAATAGAATAGAATAATAGAATAGAATGGAATAGAATAGAATAGAAAATATGGAATGGAATGGAATGGAATGGAATAGAATAGAATAGAATAGAATAGAATAGAATAGAATAGAATAGAATAGAATAGAATAGAATAATAGAATAGAATGGAATAGAATAGAATAGAAAAATATGGAATGGAATGGAATGGAATGGAATGGAATGGAATAGAATAGAATAGAATAGAATAATAGAATAGAATGGAATAGAATAGAATAGAAAATATGGAATGGAATGGAATGGAATGGAATGGAATAGAATAGAATAGAATAGAATAGAATAGAATAGAAAATATGGAATGGAATAGAATAGAATAGAATAGAATAGAATAGAATAGAATAGAATAGAGTTGGAAGGGACCTTGGAGGTCTTCTAGTCTAACCCCCTGCTTAGGCAGGAAACTTTATGCCATTTTAGGCAAATGGTTGTCCAATCTCTTCTTAAAAACCTCCAGCGCTGGAGCACCCACAACTTCTGGTGGCAAGTTGTTCCACTGATTAATAGTTCTCACTGCCAGGAAATTTCTCCTTAGTTCTAGGTTGCTTCTCTCTTTCATTAGCATCCATCCATTGTTTCTTCTCCTGCCTTCAGGTGCTTTGGAGAATAGCTTGACTCCCTCTTCTTTTGGGCAGCCCCTGAGATACTGGAAAACTGAGCTATTGGAACACCTTAGTCCTTCTTTTCATTAAACTAGACCTACCCAATTCCTGCAACTCGTTCTTTTTATCTGTTTTAGCCTCTAGTCCCCTCAGCATCTTTGTTGCTCTTCTCTGCACTCTTTCCAGAGTCTCCACATCTGTTTTTTTGTATCGTGGCGACCACAACTGGATGCAGCATTCCAAGTGTGGCCTTACCAAGTGGTATCAACACTTCACGTGATCTTGATGCTATTCCAGCTGCAGCAGCAGTCTATCTGGGAAGCTCCAGATGGAGGACCCGCGCCTCCCTTGCCATCCCCGAGGCTGGCCTGGCCGGACGGATCTTCCTTTCCTCTCTAGCGGGACAGGGGTGGGGGAACTGGAGAGGCGAGGGCGTCGCTTCCTTGCGAGCCTCCAGTTCCAGCAGCAGTCTATCCCAAAAGCTCCATCTTCTTTCTTGCGCTATATCCGTCATCGGACGTTGGCAATCATGCTGGTGATCCTATTTTTATATCAACAGCCGCCGCACGAAGCTCCATACGGACTAGGAACATGACCCGCTTGCCTTCCCGGAGGCTGCACGGCTCGGCCCGATCTCCCTCCCTTCTCTAGCGGAGGGTAGAAGGAGGGTGCTGGAGAGTCTTGGACGAGCCGCCTTCAGCCTCCCCCTTAGCCCGGCCCCTTCCTTCGAGCCTCCAGCCCCAGCAGCAGTCTATCCCGGAGTGTGAAGATCGCCCGCTTGCCTTCCCCGAGGCTGGCCGATCTCTCTCCCTCTTTAGCGGCTCGTAAGTTGAGGGCTGCAGAAGCTTGGGCGAGCCATTCTCGATCGCCCCCTTGCCCTGCCCTTCCTCCGAGCCTCCAGCTGCTGCAGCAGTCTATCCCGGAAGACAGACTTCGCACATACGAAGCACGAAGACCGCCCGCTTGCCTTCCCCGAGGCTGGGCTGGCCGGCCCGATCTCCCTCCCCTGTCTACGACCCAGGGAGCAGGTCTTTAGTCTTCTTTCATGCCTCGAGCCTCCAACTCCAGCAGCAGTCTACCCCCGGAGTACGAACATCTCCCATTTGCCTTCCCGGAGACTGGCCGGGACGATCTCCCTCCCCGGGTCTGCTTGCAGAGCCTTGAGCGAGCCATCCTCGGCCGCCCCCTTGCCGGCCTTTCCTTCGAGCCTCCAGCTCCTGCAGCAGTCTATCCCGAAGTATGAATCCGGCCCGTTTGCCTTCCCCGAGGCTGGCCGGACCGATCTCACTCCCCTCTCTCGCGGGACAGGTGTAGAGGGCTAGAGAGCCTTGAGCGAACCGCCCCCTCCCTCCCACTTGCCCGGCCCTCCCTTCGAGCCTTCAGTTCCAGCAGCAGTCTATCCCGGAGGACGAACATCTCCCGTTTGCCTTTGGGGAGCTTGGCCATCCCGATCTCCCTCCCCTCTCTTGCCGGCTCAGGGCTGCTTGCAGAGCCTTCAGCGAGCCCGTCCTCGGCCTCCCCCTTGCCGGGCCCTTCCTTCGAGCCTCCAGCTCCAGCAGCAGTCTACCCCGGGAGGACGAAGATCGCCCGTTTGCCTTTCCCTCCCCTCCCTAACGGCTCAAGAGTCTGCTTGTGAAGGGGGGTCTGCTTGTGAAGCATTCAGCGAACAGCCCCCCTCCCTTGCCCTCCCCCTTGCCCTGCCCTTCCTTCCTCCGAGCCTCCAGCTCCAGCAGCAGTCTACTCCGGGAGGACGAAAAAAAACATCTCCCGTTTGCCTTCGGGGGGAGCCTGGCCATCCCCGATCTCCTTCCCTTCTCTTGCCGGCTCAGGGCTCCTTGCGGAGCCTTTTCAGCGAGCCCGTCCTCGGTCGCCCCCTTGCCCTGCCCTTTCTTCCACCGAGCCTCCAGCTCCAGCAGCAGTCTACCCCGGGAGGACGAAAAAACATCTCCCGTTTGCCTTCGGGGGGAGCCTGGCCATCCCCGATCTCCTTCCCTTCTCTTGCCGGCTCAGGGCTCCTTGCGGAGCCTTTTCAGCGAGCCCGTCCTCGGTCGCCCCCTTGCCCTGCCCTTTCTTCCACCGAGCCTCCAGCTCCAGCAGCAGTCTACCCCGGGAGGACGACGAAAAAACATCTCCCGTTTGCCTTCGGGGGGAGCCTGGCCATCCCCGATCTCCCTCCCTTCTCTTGCCGGCTCAGGGCTGCTTGCGGAGCCTTTTCAGCGAGCCCCCTTAGTCGGTCGCCCCCGTCGCCCCGGTCCTTGGCTGGGCTTGCTTGGGCAGGGCAGGAGCCTCCAACTCCAGCAGCAGTCTATCGCCGACCTCCCTCCCCTCTCTAGCGGGGCAGGGTGTCGAGGGCTAGAAAACCTTGAGCTTTCTAGCTCTCAACCCTTGCCCTCCCTTTCCTCCGAGCCTCCAGCTCCAGGAGCAGTCTACCCCGGGAGGACGAAAAAAACATCTCCCGTTTGCCTTCGGGGGGAGCCTGGCCATCCTCGATCTCCTTCCCTTCTCTTGCCGGCTCAGGGCTGCTTGCGGAGCCTTTTCAGCGAGCCCCCTTAGTCGGTCGCCCCCGTCGCCCCGGTCCTTGGCTGGGCTTGCTTGGGCAGGGCAGGAGCCTCCAACTCCAGCAGCAGTCTATCGCCGACCTCCCTCCCCTCTCTAGCGGGGCAGGGTGTCGAGGGCTAGAAAACCTTGAGCTTTCTAGCTCTCAACCCTTGCCCTCCCTTTCCTCCGAGCCTCCAGCTCCAGGAGCAGTCTACCCCGGGAGGACGAAAAAAACATCTCCCGTTTGCCTTCGGGGGGAGCCTGGCCATCCCCGATCTCCTTCCCTTCTCTTGCCGGCTCAGGGCTCCTTGCAGAGCCTTTTCAGCGAGCCCGTCCTCGGTCGCCCCTTTGCCGGGCCCTTCCTCCGAGCCTCCAGCTCCAGGAGCAGCCTACCCCGGGAGGACGAAGCTCGCCCGTTTGCCTTTCCCTCCCCTCCCTAACGGCTCAAGAGTCTGCTTGTGAAGGGGTCTGCTTGTGAAGCATTCAGCGAACAGCCCCCCTCCCTTGCCCTCCCCCTTGCCCTGCCCTTCCTTCCACCGAGCCTCCAGCTCCAGCAGCAGTCTACCCCAGAGGACGAAGATCGTCCACTTGCCTTCCCCTCTCCTCCCTAGCGGCTCAAGATTCGGGGGGGGGGAGGTCTGCTTGCGAAGCATTCAGCGCCCGCCCTCCCCCTTGCCCTGCCCTTCCTTCCTCCGAGCCTCCAGCTCCAGCAGCAGTCTACCCCGGGAGGACAAAAAAAAAAAAAAAAAAAATCTCCCGTTTGCCTTCGGGGGGAGCCTGGCCATCCCCGATCTCCTTCCCTTCTCTTGCCGGCTCGGGGCTCCTTGCGGAGCCTTTTCAGCGAGCCCCCTTTAGTCGGTCGCCCCCGTCGCCCCGGTCCTTGGCTGGGCTCGCTTGGGCAGGGCAGGGCTTGGGCAGAGCCGGTGACATCACCCTGACCGCCCACCCGCTGCCTGTGCCCAGCCGCCTCCCTCCCTCCCTCCCTCCTTCCATCCATCCATCCTCCTCCTCCTCCTAGCAGCCAGCAGCGTGGCCGGGCGCTCGGCGCGGCAGAGCCGGGCTGGCGACGGCCTCTGCGGGCTCCTGGCGGCAGCAACAGCGGCACCAGCACCGGCAGCAGCAGAGGCGACGCGGACGGCCCCAGCAGCAGCAGCCTCCTTCTTCCCCGGGCGCCGCCCGCATGAGCCACCGCAAAGGCGACAAGCCTCCCATCAGCATCCAGGAGCACATGGCTATCGACGTCTGCCCGGGTCCCATCCGCCCCATCAAGCAGATCTCCGACTACTTCCCGCGTTTCCCCCGCGGCCTCCCCGCCGCCGCTTTGCTCACCCGAGCCAGAGCTTGCAGCAACGCCGCGCTTCCACCTCGGCCGGCCCGCCTAGCCCGGCCGGGACCCCTCCGCCCCGGGACGACGAGGAAGACCTCGACCAACTCTTCGGCGCTTACGGCACCGGAGAGACCCCCAGCCCCGCCGGCAAAGCGCGACCCCCGGATCAGCAACAGCAACAGCAGCAGCAGCAGCAGGAGGAGGATCAGGACCCCCCTACCCATCATCCACCCCCGGCCCGCCCGGAGGAAGAAGAAGAGGAAGCCGACGGCTACGAATCCGACGATTGCAGTAAGTTGTCCGGGTTGGGGATCCGAAGGGACCGCGCGTGGGAAAGGCTCCAGCGGCGTCGGAGGTGGGACGGGGCGCCCGCGGGCGCCCAAAGTCTGCGAAGGAAGGAAGGAAGGAAGGAAGGAAGGAAGGAAGGAAGGAAGGGATTTGCGCTTGGGCCGGATTTAGAGGCTAGGTTGGGTAGGGTTAGATGTGTGTGTGTGTGTAGACACGTGTAGTGTGCCCACAAGTGTGAGAGCCCAAAGTCTGGGAAGGAAGGAAGGAAGGAAGGAAGGAAGGAAGGAAGGAAGGAAGGAAGGAAGGAAGGATTTGCGCTTGGGCCGGATTTAGAGGCTAGGTTGGGTAGGGTTAGATGTGTGTGTGTGTGTAGACACGTGTAGTGTGCCCGCGAGTGTGAGAGCCCAAAGTCTGGGAAGGAAGGAAGGAAGGAAGGAAGGAAGGAAGGAAGGAAGGAAGGAAGGAAGGAAGGAAGGAAGGAAGGGATTTGGGCTTGGGCCGGATTTAGAGGCTAGGTCGGGTAGGGTTAGATGTGTGTGTGTGTAGACACGTGTATTGTGCCAGTGAGTGTTAGAGGCTGGGTCGGGTCGGGTTAGATGTGTGTGTGTGTGTGTAGACACGTGTAGTGTGCCCGCAAGTGTGAGCGCAGGTGTGAATCTGGGCAAGAACCATGGGGTGATTTGTTAGTGGAGGTTTTCCGAGAAGAGACTGGACAGACAGGGGTTTGTCCGGACTGGTATATAAGGTCTCTCCTGCTTGAGCAGGGGGTTGGGCTAGAGGACCTCTCAGGTCCCTTCCAACTCTGTGATGCTATATTTCTAAGATGCTCAAAAAATAAGGAAGGAATTTGCTGGCAGTGGCAGTGAGAACTTGTGGAATCTCCGGAAATTGTGGCTTCTCCAATCAACCGCTGGAGGTTTTGAAGAAGAAGAAGAGACTGGACAGCTGTTTGTCTGGAATAGGGTCTTCTGTTTGGGCAAGGGGTTGGACTAGAAGACCTCTAAGGTCCCTTCCGACTCTTTGTTATTCTGCTTTCCATTAAAGGCTTTCGATCAGCTTCTTGGACGCATGGACAGACCCCTCCCCTTGGTAGCAAACCTGGTGGGATGGGGGGGAAAGCCCCCACCAGCCTCTTCAAAGCTGCTGTTATGGGTGGCACTACAGCCAGCCAGATGTTAACCCCAGGATTGGGCATCTGTGCCCCCCCTCCCCATCGAGTCCTTCCCAAAGACCTGATCTAACCAGATGGGGGGTTTAATAATATTATAGGGATGGTTTGCAGGATGTCAGCTGCTCCAAATCAAGCTGCCAATCTGCAATTGACTGATAGGGGATTTGGTCACTGCCAAATGGTGTTCGAGGGATGCGCCAGATGTTTTGGGATTGTTATCGTCTTCTTACTCACCTCCAAAGATCTCTGGATCTTTGCTGAAGGACCCTGCCCTCCTTCTCTGGCGCCCCGAGGTGTTCCTGGGGTCTCATTCATGCCCAAAGGTGCCTTACCTTTTCGGAGTGTTATTACCGCTTTTAATATCTATCTTTATATTCTATTCTAACTTATATGATAACTGTATTATTATTATTATTATTATTAATAATAGTATTATTATTATTAATAATAATAATAGTATTAATAATAATAATAGTAGTATTATTAATAGTATGAATAATACCATTTTCCTTCTTATCATCTTCTTCACTACCCCTCTCTGTTTGCTATTACGACGGTGATGTTTATAAATTTGTCGTACGTTGGAGAGCTGCTGCGCCGGAGACGAATTCCTTGTGTGTCTCTAATCAACACTTGGCCAAATAAAACTATTCTCATTTCTGATCCTCTGCAAAAAAAATTCCTTCCGGGTTCCAAAATACCTCCAAACTCTTGGGAGTTGTGCTTCCCTCCCTGGCTGTTTTTTTAACCCCCCCTCCCTCCTCAATTCTCCGATGCCCTCCTGCCCTCCCCTCGTTGTCCTTGCACCGCGAGAAAGACCACCTTGGGCGGGACAAGCTGGCAAAACACTGCGGCACTCACAAGCCCACTGCCCTCCAGCTGCCGCTGCAGCAGGGGAAAAAAAAAAAAAACGTTTCCCAGCTTTCTCGCTTTCGGAAGGAAGGGATCTCCCACCCACCAATCCCCCCTTCCTCAAATCCCCCCATTTTTGAGGATTTTGCTGGAAACCACCAGTTGCTTCGCTTTGCAAAATCAACTATGCGCCTAGTGCAACACAGTGGGGTGCACCCCAGAGCTGGGAGCAGGAGAAAGGGACGAGGTGGGTGCAAACGTGCATTCTGCAGGCAAGGATAATGGGATGGGTGGTCCCTTGAACCGGTGGGGGAATCTGGAATCTGTGTCTCAGTTGGGGATCCGTGTTAGCTTTTCGGGAGCTGCATTCCTGGTGGCGGTGAACAGGACACAGATGTGCCAGCTGTTGGTGCCAAGCGTTGGGTGTTTTTAAAGCACGGTCTCAGCACCCAAGAGGTTGGGGGGGTCCGAAGACCCCGACCCCGACAATCCCATGCACAGAGATTCGGGTTGAATTTATGCTTTTTTGGAGCACAGGACTGGATACAAGATGCGAAGTGTCGAGAAAAAAAAAGCACACACAATTTTAAGATTTGGGTTTCTTCCTGTTTTGATTCTGTCCGCTGGGAACAGTTACTGAAGGGAGTCAGGCAGGAATGAACCTGAATTGGGGAGGGGAGAGAGAGAAGGAGGAAGAAGAAGGTGTTTTTTGAGAAAAGAGCCAGTTTGGAGTTTGGAGAGAAAGGGATCCGGGCTTTTTAAGAGAGCCGCTTTGATATAGTGGTTAAGGTTTGGATAGACCGAAGAAGATCCAGGTTTTATTTATTTTATTGCTTTATATCTCGCCTTTATCATTTTTATAAAGGCGGTGAACACACACACACACACACACAATGTTCCCTCATCCTCCTACTTTTCCCCGTAACAACAATCCTGTGAGGTGTGTTGGGCTGAGAAAGAGAGAGAGAGAGAGACGGAGAGAGAGACGGAGAGAGAAAGAGAGAGAGCAGCCCAGTTTAAATTCACTTCCTCTCTGGAAGCTCATTGGGTGTGACTAGGACTGGTTATCCTCCCCCAACTCATCCTACCTCACAGGGCTGTTGTGATTGTGGGGATAAAATGCAGAAGGATCATCACCCAAATGAGTAGGAGTGAATTCGGGGAGAAAATGTAAAAACGAAACAAACACAGACACATGTATCTGTTTTATCTTGTGTATTTTTGTCTCATCTTTTCTCCCTAGTTTTTTTTTCCCCTCGACAACAACAATCTTATAGGGTAGGATGGGCGAAGTTGCTGATTTTTAACGATTTTCAGAGCTGCGTTGCTTGTTAAGTTGGACCGTAGATACTGTCTGCCTGCCAGCTTGAGCTGTTAAAAGAAAGGACTAAATAGCATAGAAGTTACTTCCTTTCCAGCTGTGATTAATTTTAATAATTTTTAATTGTGAAATGAATAATTCTAATTGTTCTTTGAATTAAGATTGCTCCCTTCCCAATTAAGAAAAAACCCTTTCAGCTTCTGTCTTGAAGGCAGAAATTCAACTGGCACAGTCCTCGACTTACAACCATTTATTCATTTATCGACCGTTACAACAGCACTGAAAAAATTGACCTGCAACGGATCCTCACACTTACGACCGTCGCAGCTGCCGCACAGTCCTGTGGTCAAAATTTGAAAGCTTGGCATCTGTCATGTACTTATGACAGTTGCCGCATCCCAGGGTCTCGTGATCCCCATTTGTGACCTTCCCATCCACAAGCAAAGTCAAAGGTTCATTTAACGACTGCATGATTCACTTAACAACGGCAGTGATTTGCTTAACAACCGCGGGCAAAAAAAAGCTCATAAAATCAGACTCGCCTCGCTTAGTGTTTTGCTTTAGCAATGAAAATTCTGGCCCCAATTGTGGTCGTAAATCGAGGATTACCAGTAGTAGAGAGAGCCTCACCTGTTGAATTTCTGTTCCTATGAAAAGCACAAAATCTTTTTCTGTCCCTCTCTCTTCTATACATTTAGTCCTTGATTTACAACAGTTCTGTTAGTGACCAAAGTGACAATGGCACTGAAAAAAGTGACAGGACCATTTTTCACAGTTACGACCTTTGTAGCATCTCCGTGATCGTGTGATCAGAATTCAGAGGCTTGGCAACTGGCATGTACTTATGACAGTTGCAGTGTCCCAGAGTCACGTGATCCCTTTTTACGACCTGACAAGCAAAGTGAATGGGGAAGCCAGATTCACTTAACAACAGTGTCACCAACTTATCAGCTGCAGTGATTCACTTAACAACGGTGGCAAGAAAGATTGTAAAATGGGGCAAGACTCACTTAACAGATGTCTCACTTAACAACAGAAACTTTGGGCTCAATTGTGGTCGTAAATCAAGGACTACCTGCAAGGGGCCCGCTGCCATCCCTAGTTTTAAGATTTTTCAGAACAGGAAATTGTAAAATTGGAATTCCAGTCACTTTTGAAGTGTGGCGCGGGCTAAATTTAATCTGGATGTTTTTTTTAGCGTTTTTTCCATTTTTAAAACCTTTTTAATATTTTAATATATTTAAACTGCAATGTATTTTTTTTAATAAGCCACCAGACTCATTAACTGAGATGGGTGGCTATAGAAATTGAGAAAATTAACAAATAATAAATCAATACATCCCTCCAAACTTAATTTTACCTTTAGGTAGTCCTCGATTTACGACCGCAATTGAGCCCAATATTTATGTTGCTAAGCGAGACATTGGTTAAGTGAGGCTTGCCCCGTTCTACGTCTTTTCTTGCCACATTTGTTACGTGAATCACTGCAGTTGTTAAGTGAGTCACACGTTGTTAAATGAATCTGGCTTCCCCGCCGACTTTGCTTGTCGCAAAAAGAGGACCACATGACCGGGGACTCTGCAACGGTCATAAATACGAACCAACGGTCCAAGCATCTGAACATAATTCACACGATTGTGGGGATGCCGCCACGGTCAT